GCGGGGCTACACAGTGATTGACAGGTCTCTAGCAGAGACGTATACGGTGTCACTACGTCACTCCTCCTCAGTCCACATGTGGTCACTTCCTGTTCAAGCATCACTGGAGGGGCTAACAAGCTGCAAGGGAAATTGGGAGCTTGTAGAACCTGTAGATATCTTTTTTTGGATACCTGTTGATATCTAAAAGAAAAAGACTATTCTAGATTTGTCTGAAATCTATTGGAAAGATGCAGAAGATCAATTATTTAGATTTCACTGCTCAACAAGCTGCATGTGTGTGAGTGAAACCAGGACGGATATTTGTTTTTCCTGAGCTGTCGTCTCTAGCGAGGGAACCTGAACACGCGTCTGAAGAAGCTGGACGAGAAGGACGACTTTGCCGCCATCATCCTGGCCGCTGCTGGCCTCCGGAGGATGGGCTGGGACAACCGGATCAGCCAGGTAGAACACCACCACCACGACCACCTGAAGTCCTCAAATCTGTGACGTCTTGTCTTCTAACAGTCAAACTGGTTGTTTCCACCTCTAGATCCTCGGGCCTGAAGACTGTATGTACGCCGTTGGACAGGTAAGAAGGGACAAATATGACCAAGAGCAGGCTAAACGATAGGTGATAACACAACACGCTGTATTTATATTTAAATGTGTGTGTTCTGTCAGGGGGCTCTGGCGGTGGAGGTTCGGTCCAGAGATGCCGACATCCTGGAGATGGTGTCAGTCCTCCACGACCCAGAAACAGTGCTGCGCTGCATAGCTGAGAGAGCTTTCCTCAGACACCTGGTACACACACGCACACCCACACACAAACACACACACACACACACACACAAACACACAAACACACACACACACTCTAACACACTCTTTGACTTATTGTGTGAACATGTAAATCCTCATGCATTGAATTGATCGTTTGCAGGAGGGCGGGTGCAGCGTTCCGGTGGCCGTACACACCGAACTGAAGAACTCCCAGGTAGCTGCAAACACACACACACACACACACACACACACACAAACGCATACACACACACACAATACATTTTGCATGCATATACTTGACTATTTGCTAAGCTCCGCCCCCATCTAGTTATTGCTGCTGCGCAATATCTCAGGAACACCTGGTGGGAACAAACGTCCACCTGACGTCGATATCAAACTGATTAGATTTGCTAATTAAATATGAAAATTTCACACAAATAACGGTCATTTGTTGTTCCAGCTCTACCTGACGGGGGCGGTGTTCAGCCTGGACGGGTCCGACAGTCTGAAGGAAACCATGCAGACGAGCGTCGCTGCTGACGGCAAGGTAACAGCTGAGTGAGCAGTGTGTCGGTCACATCGATGACCATTGCCATTCATTTATTTCATTTTTATTTTTATTTATTACTTTATTTATTTTTTCCTTTCTTATAATTTTTTCTTTTTTTTCCAAGACAAAAGATATTTGATTAACGGAACAACAGCAGGAAAACAAGAGCGTTGAATACAGGCCACTTAACATTTAGTCAGTAATGGTTGTACACAGAAGTATTCACACGTATTTTGTGATTTATACGTCACCACAAAAAGTATTTTTCAAAGCACACAAAAATAATCATCATTATGTGTAAATGTAAACAAAATCCACAGATAAATATAAATATTTGCAAATATATTTCTGATGCACACAAATATTTCTTGTTTTAAATAAATGTATTAAAAATTCACAAATATATATAATTAATAGGATTTTAAATTTTTATCAAAAAGATATTTGATAGTTTGTTTTTAATTATTTTTTCATTGCTTGATCCCCTTTAAAAACCTGTTTATTGGGGGTTTGATAGTTGGTTGAATCTGTCACCGGTGACCCCGGTGCTCCACAGGGAACCGTCACAGTGCCCCTACAGTTCCCACCATCATCTACTGTGTTTACTTCATATTGATGTTGTGTGTTTTTGTGCACAAACAGAGCTCCGACGCGGTGGACGAGCGGGTCCAGCGAGTCGGCGTCACGGCCGGTAAGATCTCGGGTGAAGCCCAGGACGCAGCCGAGCGGCTGGGGGTCGACCTGGCAAAGTTACTGCTGAGCAAAGGAGCCAAGGATATCCTGACGGTGGCCCGGCAGCTCAACGACGCCAGTTAATCACCGACCGGGTCCTCGAGGGCCGCCGGTCTCAGCCTTGTGTCCAGTAAAGCCTTTTTTTTATGTTACAGTTTTTGATATTATGTGGAGAAGAATAATGGCGATAGATAGAGAGATTTTAAACACTACTTGGACCAAAGTTGTGTGCTGCCGTCATCAGTCTGATGCACTGGTGGACTTGGTTCCAGTCTGTTCTTCTTAGTACCTCAAGGAACCAGCTCCATGTGGAGACCACTTTACTGGGACTATCAGTGAGAAACACAACGTGGCCTTCAGACATCCTCCAGCACAGTCTCATGTTAACAGTTTGTTAAACAATCACAAAATAAAATCTATTGGTTTTGTGTACAGGAACATGAAATGTCCTTTTTCTTCTTTTCATGTCCCTCAGAACGGCTTTGTTTTTTGGGACGACATTACGCTAAAAATGGCAACAAAACCACCAACAGTTGGGTTGAGCCAACAAAACCACCAACAGTTGGGTTGAGCCAACAAAACCATATAATTACATTTAGGAAAACTGTCACGAACAGTTTGGAAAACCACGACGTGGTGTCAAACACCGGTCTTCTAGTTAAAGTCCTGTCTGTTGGATCCATCTCCCCTCTCGTCCACTAATAATCATCTCTTTGGATATTATACATTACTTCACTGGCTCTGACTGTTGCTTAGTTAGTGGATGTATTTAATTTTTGTCTCCATCACCAATAAGGATCCTGACTTTATTTTTGTGCTGAGCGACACGAAAAAAGACAATCCGAGTCCCTGTACACAAAACCAATAGATTGTATTTCGTCACTGTGTTACTGGTCTGTTACTGGTCTGTGTTGTCGGCTCTTAAAGATCAATCTCTGGCTGATATCCTCATGGGGGGGGGGGGGGGGGGGGTTCTTTCTGTCTCTCTTTTAAAGCATTTGAGTGTTAGCATAATAAACGGGATGCAGCTAAAATCCTGCATTTTAAATATTTCCTCCCATAACCAACGATGTTTGTGTCATTGTTAACCCAGACTGAGACGTCTGATGGTACCAAAGAGGAGTTCTGCTATCATGTGTGCACATGTCGTGGTTCTGAGCGGTGAAACGGGCCTCAGGAGTGAAATGTAAATATAAATGTTTATTCAGTCACATGGTCTTCATCAGACCATAAAGCATGAATCTCAGATTGAGTCGTGTTTTATCTCACTGGGCTCCTTCAAAATAAAAGTCCCTTCTCTACAAAGCTTTACTTCCTCATTTGGCTCGTGTTGAATGCAACATTTTCAGCGGAGGTGGTTTACTGTTTTTAAGAGTATGCTGGCTAACTCTCTCACAGAGAGAAGGAAAGTATATCATATTTCCTCCATGAAGAGAATGTAGGGCAGCGTGTCCCAGTACGGGACTGGAGAAGACATGTTTGGATGTTTTGAAGTAGGATTGTATGAGGTACTTCAGAATACTGTATATTCATCCCTTTACCTTTCTGACAGGGAACTGAAGCCGTTACCTATGATCTCTTCACAGACTATTGACAAAAACTAACTCTGCAGCAATTCCTGCACAGCTTTCAGTTTTCTGCTAAGATTCTAAACTTGCAGCACATTGAGCTAAAACCTCTTAACTGGAAACATCAGATTATTTCTTTTGTTTTACGTATCGCCACACTCATTATTAAAGTCTTGTTCAACAAACAAAACAAACAAATTAAAAACCGTATCTTGTAATTCTGGCTTCTGTATCTCATAATTATATCATCATTTTCTTGTAATTTCTAGATAAAGACTTAACTTATTTTGATTTCATATCATAACATTCATATCTCCTATTTATGGCATCTTTATCCTGTAATAATGAGGTATGGATCTAGTTCTCACGGTATGAATCTCATAAGACCTTTCTTTTCATAATTGTCGTTTCTTTTATACTTTTGAGATATGGATGTCCCAATTATGAGATGCTAGTCATAATTTAAAAATGCATAAGTCATAATCATGTGACTGTATACTTCAGTGGATGCAAATCTTTTGTTTTTATGAAATTAACAAAGAAATAAATGAAAAACATTTGCTGTAACGTCATGTAAGATGCTGTACTCATCACATTTTCAAACTTTGTTTTTATCAAAGTTCATCTCATGAATGTTATTTCTGCCTTACATGAAACGATGCCTGTTTTTTCTTCCTTCATTCTGTTCCACCATATTGTATTATTTTATTTTATTGGTCTTTATTGTACATTAAACCTCCTGAGACAATGTGTGGCAGCGGTCGTCATATTTGTTTGTCAGCTTTAATGCCTGTATGAATTAACGTAGTTAATGTTTCTGATTCTTTATCAGATTACTCATCAATCTGTCAACGACAAAATATTCACGTCTTTGTTTTCCCTCAAATTCATCACTAAAGTCATCAGGATCCATCATCTAGGAAGCATGAATGTCCATAAAATGTAATGATAATCCATTCATTCATTTTCAGATATATCACCTAAAGTAATGTATCCTCATACGACGGTTAGTATTAAATCTTACGAAAAGTTACTTTTTTTTCTGCGTTTTCATCTGAAAGTCCAGCAACACAAGTCAATTTAAAAATTTTAAAGTTCAGACAACTAAACTACTTAGTGAGGTTTAGACAAACTAGTTCGCTTTAGAGAAATGATCTTCGGAGATCTTCGGTTGGGTTAAATACCTACAAATGAAATACCTACTGAAGTACGCAAGTTACGTGACTAATAAATCGTTGGCTTCTCGTTTCACACGAGGAACGATCCCTCTTTGTGTTTTTATTCATAAGATACTACCAGGTGAAGGGAATATTACTGAACAGTTCAAGACCTACTCTAAAGCAAATTCAAAGGCTAACTCTTAGTCTACTTTTGAATTTTCAGTTCTTTCTAAATGTCTTACTTTCTTATTGAGGTAAATGTTCCGATAAGATTTAAACGTACTAAAGCAATGGTGGGGCTTTTCCCACCCACATTTTTATATTGTGCAACTAAACTAAACTTGATGGTGAATGGAGAGTTGTGACCTGCAGATGGCACTAAAAAGGAAAGTTGCAGGGTGTCGCCAAAGTCAGTAGGATGCATCCTCTTGGGACCATGAACGTCTGTGCAAAATTTCATGCCAACCAATTCAATATTTGTTGAGAGATATTTGTCTGAGCCAAAGAAGTGGATCAACCGACCCACAATGTCATCATTATAGTTTGAACCCAAATTATGCAACACATTATTTTATTGTTCAACCAAATGACGAAATGGTTCAAGAGCTGGCGAGTTGCTAAGTAGATCTACTAAGATCGGACAAAGCCAACCGCCGTCTCCTTAGGTCTAAACCGCAGAGCTTGTCTTTATCGTGTCCCCTCATCCAGTCAAACTGCAGCCTCCCGTACTGGGTCTTCCCACAGGGATTCAAAGTGAAGAAGGTCTGTTGGGCGTTCAACGGGATCACGTTGTGGAAGTGAAAGGACGAGGGGTCCACGGTGTCTTTCATCCAAATCTTTTGCACCACCCTATGGTGGTCTACTGCGCCACCAGGCCGCAGTGCGTGGATGATCGCTGCACGCCGTCTGGCATCGGAAGACTCGACAGGATGCTCTCTAGCGGCCGGTGGAGAACAGAAACCTTGCAGAGGTTTGTGCAGGTTCTTCAGGTTCTGTGCAGAAGTAGACTGAACGGTGGAGCGCGTAGAAGCAAGAGGACGCTCAGTGATGGTGGAGCATTTTCCAAGGCGTGACGAGTTCCTGATGCCAACTCTGTACTTCTTGTAGAGCTCCAAGACTCTTCGATCAAGGGATACCGGTGTTTGGGTTCCGATGTTGTTATATTTGGTGGAAGAGAGGAGGAACCTTTTATCTCCGATCGGCGAGAACTCAGGAAGTCCAAGGTCTGGTTGGGGATCCTCTGGGGTTGGAAGGGGAGGCTTCGGGGGACGAGGAGTGAAGGTTTTGGGCTCTGTAGGTGGAGAAGGAGGCTTCGGGGGACGAGGAGTGAAGGTTTTGGGCTCTGTAGGTGGAGAAGGAGGCTTCAGGGGACGAGGAGTTAAGGTTTTGGGCTCTCTAGGCGAAGAAGGAGGCTCCGGGGGATGAGGAGTCAAGGCTTTGGGCTCTCTAGGCGGAGAAGGAGGCTTCGGGGGACAAGGAGTCAAGGTTTTGGGCTCTGTAGGTGGTATGTATGAGGCTATCCTGGGTTCTGTGAGTGTGGAAAGGTACATGTAAGACAGAATGTACAATTTTAAGAGTACTAATTTAAATACGGTAAGAACCAATGGGCCTCAGGCAAGAACATTTGGGAATTTCTTTCCGAGACAATCCATCACCTGCTTGTACTACAGTGGTAGTGTCTCTGAGCACCAGAGTCTCTTTAGAAAATCTCTCATTTTACTGCAGCAGGGTCTGACAGTCTGCCCCTCTCAGTCCTGGTTCTGGTCCTTCCCTCATACCATACGACGGGTCTGGACTTCTCCTGATTATCGCTCATAACTAAGATAAAACTCAGGTTGTCTTATATCACTTCAAACTTAATTAAGAACAATTCTGTTCCCACATGTGGTTCCTGCATGAGGCCCAATGTCTTCATACATTTAATGAATATATTTAGTGAGCTATGTAGTGTTGGTGACGGTAACCTTGCTTTGAGAGGACATCGTCTGCAGACACCACACGACTTTCCACTGGAGGCTCCGGCTGCGCTGACGTCAAAGAAAAGAAAAGAAGGTTCAAGTATGCAGAAGATATCCATCTCTGATGTTGGTGTCTCATCTGCTTGTACCGGTGGTTATGAAACTGGATGTTCTCCGTTCGAGATGTTGGAGTGGAGGTGTGACGTCTTCACAAAGCTTCCATTCCTCGTCATGCTCTCTCGGTTGTTTATTTTCATGACAGGAGGTCGCTCTAGAACAGGATGTATTGAAGGTTATTGTGAGGACTTGAATTGCAAACCAGTTTTAAAGGAGACGCATTACTTACATGAAGGTCTCTCTTGTATCGTAGCAGACTTCTTCCCTCTGAGGCTCCTCATTTATTAGTTCGTCATCAGATGTTATCTGCAGGTTCTGCATACTGATCTTCCACTGAACGTCATAGGACTCCTCTTCATCCTTCTCATCTTCTTCCACATCGCTTGTGTTCTCCTCATCTTGTGTGAACCACAATAATCCTGTCCTCAGGTCCTCCCAATGAAGATGAGACAAGATGTCCGTCTGGGGAAAACACTTTCCCTTCTTCCTCCAGCTGAGGATCACAGAGTTTGGGATGTAGCCATCTGGAGCGATGGGCCACCTCTCCGTGTTCACGTCGACGGGTTGAGACATCGTGTAATATTTATATTATATATATCTTCAGCAGCTCCTGACGGCTTCACCCAAAATCTAGCTGGAACACGTCAAAGAGGATTATCACAATGAGAATAGCACTCCCATGTCTGTACAGTAAATGTGAAGCTACAGCCAGCAGATAGTTAGCTTAGCTTAGCATACAGATGGAAAGCCGATTTATTTACACATCAAATGTCATTCAACTTCTACAAAAACGGAAAAGCTAGGCGCAGTTTTGTTACATTTAGACAGAGACAGGAAGCTGTTTCCAGTCCTTGTGACATGCTAAGCTAACCGGTCGATTTACCAATCTGTACCACAGACTGTGTATAACAAGTGGACGTAGTCGTTGTGACGTCACTCATTGGTTTGTGGACTGATGTTTTGAAGCCTCAAGTTTGGCGACTTTGCTGTCGCCATGTTGTTTTTAGCAACCAGTGAACAGGAAGTCACCATATCTGGACTGAGGAGCAGTGACGTAGAGACGCCATTATACGTCTCTGGTAGAGACCTGTCAATCACTGTGTAGCTCCGCCCTAAAGCATCCCCTGCTTTATGGTCTATTTGACCCTACATTTTGTGTAGTTATGGCAGTTATGGTAGTCGATCGTTGCCTGAACTAGATGAACTAGATGGTTTCCTGTATTCACGTGACGAGAGGTGATTGACACGTGTTGCTGGACTTTCATAGGAAACACACGAACAACGAGTGACTTTTTGTAAGACATGAGGATACGTTGTTGTGCTACATTGCGTCTTTTCTTATTTAAATCGATGGTAACAAAGAAACCCGGAGCTTTTTCTGGGGGCGTCGGCCAAAAACACAACCAGGGAACCGAGCGACTATCATCTAATGATTTATGAAGATGATTTATCTTAACAGTGATTTAAAATCAGCTACTTATGAAACAATCTGTTGTACACGTCGTCTCTCAACTACAACTAATCAGACTTTGGCCCGAACATTTATTATCAGTGAAACAGCAGATTAATCCAGTGACCAACAATAAGCAGACTGTAACTACTGTATATGCCGGGGTTAAGGGTTAAATGAATTAAAACAGGATTCAGCAGCTCAATTACACAATCTATGAAGAGTCTTTCAGGATTTGTAGAATAGTTTGTATGTATTGTTGCATTTCATTCATTAAAGATTTAAATAACCATTTTCTGTTTGTTACTTTTATGACAAGATAATACAAATATTCATAATAAATTAGGATTTTTTCTGAGCTGCAGATATCATTAAAAACAGCACATCTCAGTAAAGTGATGAATAATTAACACCAACAGAACAAGTCATTTTGTGTTCTTTGTGAATAATATTTAGGACCATCGATGGAGAAGTTTACCAAACAAACACAAACTTCTCCAAACAAATGTAAAACCACTCCCTGCCTCTTCTGTTCCACATCCCTTTGAATATGAAACATTATTATTATTAATATCTGAGATCCAGTAACTCACCAGGAGGACCTTCCTCTTCCTGCAGCTTTGTGTTTCGTGCTGAAAGAGGCAACAGTTCTACTGTGATTTTAAATTTAAACATTTCAATTTGAATCCTAACAACTGAGCTACAGAATGGAACTCACAGCAGGTTACCAACCAACAGCAGCTCGTTCGCTCCAGGAAGTCGACTGCACAAATAATCACAACGAGAAAGGAAATAAGTGAAATAAAACTTGATAGTAAAACAAATGCGACGCCTGAAATACAAAGTAAATATGATGAATATTTTCATCTGACGTGGTCGAGTCCATTGATCACAACATTCTGTTCGTTATTTGAAAGTGTATTCTGTAAATCGCTCACGCCTTCTGATCCTACGTGTTCGGTTAGATGTTCATCCAGCTACGTTAATGTTTGATCAATTATTATCAATTCTTCTGCATGAAAGGTGAGCCAACGTGTGGGAAGGATCCAGAAGAGTTTGTAAATGTTTGGTTATCAACAGCCATCAATAACTTCACTTTATTTAAAAACATTTTTTGTGTTTGTCATGTATATACGCGTTCATCCTGGGACAACATTCAAAGAACATCTTTGTCTAATTTGAGATAGATATATATATATATATATATATATAGATATAGATATAGATATATAGATATATATTTCCTGATTTGTTGTGTTTTGTTGTTTAAAGATATTAAAGCGTGACAAAAGAAGAACACGAGGCTCAAGTCTTCACAGCTTTGGAGTTTGTCCAGTTTAACCTCAGAGTTTCTGTTCGCTTCACTGAGTACGGAAGTTAAATAATAAACACATTTTAAACTGTTCACAAGTCATCAAGGATCACATGGAAAGGTCCTAAAGTGAGTGAGTTCTGTTTGGTGACTGAAGGGAAACAGAAGATCCTCAGATGCATCTAAACACGACTGCACAACGTCATTTGGAAGTTTAATACTTCATGAATCAGAGTTTCATCTCATTTCTGAGTCTCTAGCTATTAAAATAAAGCAGCTCACTCTACCACATCTCCTCCTCCCGGTCCTCAGAGACCTGAAGGGTCCTCATGACTGAAGTAAAGAGTCCTTCCTGCCCCAGCAGACGGGTCCACAGGTGTAACTGATGAAGGTGATTATGGTTCTGTTGAGTCAGCGTGCACATGCAGGCTCATAATCAGTGTTATTGATCACACCTGTGTTTCAACATGGCCACCAATCAGTTTATTGGCAGCACAAATCCTCAGGACTTCAGTTCCAGATCATTTGATGACGATGGTTGTAATAAACATCAGTAAAGTGAATCAGCTGATGAAGATACGTTGACTCACTCAGAGGTGCAGACACAGCGGAGACGGTCCAAGTGGAGAAAGCTTTGCTTGGATTTAGTTCAGATTTGCACAAATACAGATCTGCAGGATGATGTGTGTCTGTAGTCCAACAGGAAGTCATCACCACTGGTTCCCTCCACAAACAGCCAATCAGATTCTTCCATTTGATTCTGGATTATTACAGAAAACAAACAATCATTTCTGATTCTTACACGTTTAGTTCATCATGATCATCTTCACTAATGAACTCCGCTTTAACGATGTTTGAAGTGTGAAGTACAAAGCGACCGTTCGTCCATAAAGGAACCGCCACGTTCTTTGACTTCACTGTCTTTTGGGCTTTGGTCGCCATCTTTATTCTTTCAGAACAAGAGGCGACACAGAGGGCGGAGCTCAAGAGGACCGGAGGACACTTTTCTTCAAAGTGATTGATAAACACACGGCCATTTTGTAGGTGATGTAAAAGCAGATTAATGCTCCGATGATATTCATCACATTCACTGTATTTCCTGTTTACATCTCTTTCAAAGTGTTTTGAAACACAGTAATAAACTGAAGCAGTTCATCTGGAAACACTCGCTACAGGAAACTAACAGGACGTAGAGCTTTATTGTATTTGTACTCTTTTACAGTTTTTGCAGCGTAGTTCAAACCAAACGGATAAACAGAAACGTTATGTTATTTATCACTGTGGAGAAGAAACAAATGAACGCCGTCATGTTACTCTTTACCTCCCGAGTCCTTTGAATATTCATAATATGAAAATATTGGAGCTGTTTTAACTCAATTCTTCACAAACACAACAGAAGATTCATTCAAACATAAACACGTACAAACAGACGCACTTCATATTCAATCAAGAATCAACAACAGATTCAAGAAGAAGTTACTTTAAGTTAACGTCTGAACACATTTAATGAAACGTTGAGACGATAAATAAAGACGACACCAACAACATGGACTCTTCCTCCGAGTCTCTTTTGTTTTTTAATATCTGTTTAATAAACTTGTGCCGCTCCGACATTTAATTCATTGTGTCGACGCAATCGCACAATAAAAACGTGCCAGATGAGCGTCCATAATAAATACCTTTAAATATCTATTTTGTGTCGTTACCCGCTTAATGAACCGCTGAACGGCAGGAGTAACAGTATACACTCATGTTTCTATTTTAATAAACACAAAGTACTTTAAGTCTCTGAGCAGCAGAGTCTCTTCAGAAAACCTCTCATGTTACTGCAGCAGGTCTGACAGTCTGCTCCTCTCAGTCCTGGTTCTCCCGTGACTCCCTTCCCTCCAGCGGGTCCAGCAATACGTCCTGGGTCTCCAGCAGCGTGGTGTCGGTGTTGGCTCCCAGAGAGGAGAAGCTCTGCTCCTGGAGGAGGAGGAGGAGGAGGAGGAGGAGGAGGAGGAGGAGGAGACGCTGCTGCCGGGAGCTGAACTCTCCTCCTCCCTCCGGAGCTCCGACTGCTGGTCCAAGGCTGCAGATGAAGTCGGATCTGGGTCTGTCCACGGTGGACCGGTCTCTGCTGGAGGATCTGGGTCGGTCCATGGTGGACCGGTCTCTGCTGGTGATCTGGGTCTGTCCACGGTGGACCGGTCTCTGCTGGAGGATGTGGGTCGGTCCACGGTGGACCGGTCTCTGCTGGTGATCTGGGTCTGTCCACGGTGGATCGGTTCTCCAGAGTTCAAGACAAAACTCAAAACATGCAGCTTAAGTTTCTGTTTACATCTTCTTCTTCGTCTTCTTCTTCTTCTTCTGCAGCTACGAGTGCGTTCATCAGGAGACTTCACTTTGTTTCCAACACTCACAACAACAACAACAACAACAACACTCAATAAAACCAATCTGTTTTTAATGCACCTGAGATAACGAGCATACATTCTTGCATGCTTGTTAATATTTTTAACATCTGGAAGAAATGTTCATCAATAAATAAAAAATACACCTGGAAGACGTTCTCTTAGTTTCTTCTTTAAACCTGATTATTTACAGCTACTCTGAACCTCTGAACACATTAAACGAACAACGTGCTGGAAGCAGAACCAGGAGCTGCTGGATGATTGTCCGTATTGCAGTTTGTGCTGTTTTTTCTGTTTACATCTACATCAGAAGCAGAAGACGGAGACATCGTGAGTTAATGACCACACGGTGACGGTAGCATCTTGAGGACTTGATATGTTTGTGAGGACAAACGCTGCAGCGATCAGTGCAGGAGAGCAGCTCTGATGTGATGATGTGTAACTCGTGGAACGGTTTGGATCTCGTGGACTCAAATTATGCAAAACTTTCTGCAAACTGTCACTTTGTCAAAGAAAGCAAAAGTCCACGGCCAAGAAAACACAAAGACGGCTTTGTTATTAGATTCTTAATATTAGTCGGGATGATATAAACAACCGTCCGTTCAACTGTCAAGAGACTTTTAAGCAAACGTTTAAAATGTCGCAAAAAAAAGAAATTTGAAATTTTGCGTGTTTCCAGAAACTGGTTGTGAGCGAATGAACTCGGCTACGGATACGTCGGTCAGAAGGAGGCGCTGGAGGCCTCACGTGGCTGTGATCTGCCACAAAACAGAGTAGAAGAAGAAGTAGAGCCGAGGGATCCAACTAAAGCTTAACGAGCTCCAGTTAGAGAGCGTGTCCTCATGAGAGGTCCAGAGCATCATGAGAACGTCTCACTGGTTCTGTGACTCAGTGAAGTAGATAACAGTCGTATTAACGTCTGTATGGAGTCAACAACGGGCTGTCAATCAAATAATAATATCTCAACAATATTTATTATTATAGTTCTCAAATTGAACTGGATGAATTATAAATAACACATCATCTAATAACGAGGGGTTCGTTTAACAGCTTTAACCGTTTAGCAGATATTATATCCTCTCATCTTCTAGAGATAAATGTGTGAGCAGGGACTTTATCTGTGGTTATTAAGCTCTGCGCTCTCTGTTTATATTGTTTATTATCGGTCTTCACTTCAGATGTGAGTGTGTTCGTGTGTTGTGAGACATGCTGGTGTTAAGCTGCCGTAGAGACTCTGGTCTCTCTTTGGAGGACGGCATGTGAAATAACTCCTCTGACTAACTGCTGCTGTCCGTGTTTCAAGCTGCTCGGCTACGTGTGATGGTGCAGCTGTGGTTCATCAGCGCTCTCCCACACAGAGCAGCTATCATCCAGACTAACTCCCTCATTCCTCCATAAGAACAATAAGGAAGCAGTGAGATTCTCTAAACCCTCAGTTCACCAACCAATCAGCAGCCGGAGCTCCTCGTCTCCCGACAGGAAGCTTCCTCAGACCGTCACTGAAAGGGTCCAGCACTTTTTGGGGGTCTCACTGGTCTGAAACTGGTCTGAAACTGGTCCCGGCAGCCCAGTATGTGATCAGGTTGAGCTCAGATCGTGATGTCATTCTTGCAGAAGTGTCTCCCTCCAGTCGAAGGAGTGGTTCGGTCCATGTGTGAGGGGGAGGATGGGAGGGTCCACTAACTGCCAGACCTCCGTGTCTCCCTGCTCCTCACAGGAGCAGAAGCCCAGGTAGGGGACCTGAGGACCAGGAGGAGGGATCAGGATTCAGTTTGACAGGAAAACGTTTCACTTCTTTCTGCTATAGTTCCTTCATCAAACTGCTGTGAACTGTCCCTTTAAGGCCCACTCCGACTGTTATTATTATTATCACTGTATATACTGTATCTCCTCACCACACCACACATCCAGAGCAGCTTATTTGTGATATAAATCATGTCTCGTTGTATAACTTGTATTTATTTCCTACAATGCAGAAATGCTAAATTGCACATTTTATCTGGAGGTATGAGTCTAGTGGGCAACTTTCTTTAGTTGCACACCCAGCCTCAATGGGCAATGGGAGGGGGCTTAGGAAACCAGATGGAAGTGATGGCGGATGGACAGGAGAGTGGGATGTACAATGATCCAGATGGATTCAGAAGTGAACCGACCTTTCGAACCACTTGGATGAAGTCCTTGGCGCTCTGGGGGCCGCGGCCCTGCAGCTGCCTCGTGCAGGCCTCTAAGGACGACGCGTGGGCTACAATCAGCACGTTGTTTCCTACGGAGAGACAGGAAAGGAGAGAGGAGAGAGGAGAGGACAGGAGAGGGGAGAGAGGAGAGAGGAG